CCGCCACCGTGCCAAGGTTTGTCTGGCGGGGTCTCTGTAAGCCTTCGGAGAGGACCCCGCCCCTCGCCACGCGTCATTGCATGCACTGATCCCTCCCGAGGGTTGCTGGGCGCCCCGACTTTTCCTTAAGGATCTTTAAAACTCTCCAAGGATGCCAGGACGACCCAGGAGGGCTAACAAGGCAACCAAGATGGCCCAACATTGCCCCAAGAGGCACTCAACAGCCCTTCGGAAGCACCCACTAGGTCCCAAGAGGCCTCACAAAGGCCCCAAGACACCCGCAGAAGGCTCTCCAGGAGGTAGCCGGGATGCCAAAGTCCCTCAGTTGCTCCGACGTTTCTCATCATCGACGCTCGTCGGTCGAATGTCGCTGCACTTGCAGTCTTGGAAAGCCCAGCAGTGCCCACTGAGAGCGTCTAGAAGGCCCCTACAGCCAAGACGCTGCAAGAAGGACCGCTTTGGGTTCTGAAGGGGCTCGCTGTTCCTTAGGTCATTCCGTGGTTGTTCCTCTGGCCCTCCTCGTGCACCCAGGGGCTTCGCTCCTTATTTAGCGTTCCTTATTTCAGCAGCCCGACTGTAGACGGCCCAAAAGGGCCTCCAGAAGAACCCAAGACGACATACGAAGGCCCCGAAACCGGCCCTCCGACGCGCAAAGGGACCTCTCCTCAGGCGGCCAAAACAGCCCCAAGGCGGCCCACGAGGACCCCAAGACGACCGAGGAAGCCCAACAGAGCCTCAAGACGCTCCCAAAAACAAGACGACAGGTCCTCAAGAGGTGGAGGCGAGAGGTACCGCACGTGACGGCCTTCTGGGCGGTGTTCGACTGGTCGCCACACCGCATGCTTCGCTGGCACGGTGACGGACTTGCCGCAGACGCCCAGATAACATGCACCCCCGCTCGGGGAGCATGTCATTCGCCAACCAGCTCAACCGACGCGATCCTTACTTCAAAAACCGCAACCAACACCTCCACGGCAAGTGCGAATATTAAACGGGCCACCAAAATACGAGCAGAAGAAAACGGGAGAACGGAAGCATCAGGCTCGGACACAGTGGGAAAAAACACATCGCAAGGAACAGGTGTGGGTCTGTCCCCACGGCGACCAGTGCAACTAGAAGACAGTACCGAGTAAAAAGAACCAATCGCTTTGGATTGAATTCAAGCCTGAGGGTCGCCTGCCTGTACACGCACTTCCTGCACCACAACTGCCTTAGGAGACGGGGCAAGGAATGCTAGCTGCAAGGCTCTCGATGGCACAGCATTCGATGACTAACGGTCCGACAGCGAGTAAGACCTGAGCCAGCATGTGACGGCAAGAACGGAACTCGGGATTGCCCGACGGAGGCAAAAAATCAAGAAGTCCAAGAACACTACATTTGAACTGATGCATGTGCCTGCTGTCACTAAGGACGGTCGAAACGCTAGAAGAGAATGTATACGACGATCAATTAAGTTGCTGACCCTTTCGAATCCTGTTGGTTTCCCCTGAAACTCTCTTCCGCCTCTCACAGATTCTTGGACCCGTGTCGGGTCCTCGTGTGGCGTTCTCGGAGCTTAGATGGTGCTCTTTTGAGGTCGACTGAAATATAGGGCTATAGGGCTATAGGACTATAGAGCTATAGGGCTATAGGGCTATAGGGCCATAGGACTATAAGGCTATAGGCTATAAAGCTATAGGGCTGTTAAGGCAATAGGGCTATTGGGCTACTGGGCTATAGGGCTATTAGGGCTACAGGGCTATTCGGGCTAGTCGGGTTATAGGGCTATAGGGCAAAGGGCAAAAGGCCATAGGGCTAAAGGGCTATAAGGCAAAAGGGTTATAGGGCTATTAGGGCTATTAGGGCTATAGGACTATTGGGCTATAGGGCTATTCGGGCTGTTCGGGCTGTTCGGGCTGTTCGGGCGATAGGGCTATAGGGCTATAGAGCTATAATTCTAGAAGGCTATAATGCTATAGGCTATAGGGCCATAGAGCACCTGGGCACCCCCGGGCACCCAGGCACCCGGGCCGGCCACCGAAATCGGCGGCGCACCTTACCTAACCATATGAATCCGCTAGGACCCCTACAGAGGCAAGCTCTGCTTGGGGAAAGAATAGTCTGGCCCTTTTCAAAACAGAACAAACCCAACAACAACAACAACAACAACAACAACAACAACAACAACAACAACAACAACGACAACAACAACAACAACAACAACAACAACAACAACAACAACAACAACAACAACAACAACAACAACAACAACAACAACAACAACAACATTCCACGATGCGCGAAGTGAACCCTACCCTCCCCCTCAGAAATCGTGTGGGGTAGGGGTAGGGTTCGCATGTGGCCCCCTAAGAATGACTCTCGGAAACCTCCACGAAGGCCCCTGGGCCTCCCCAGACGGTCCCCCTCCGGCCCAGACGCAAACAGCCCTGAGACCCTCGGACGGCCCCAGGCCGGTCGAAGGCGGCTCCGAGGCAGCCCAAAACGGCTCAAGAATCCGGAATGCAGGCTGCGATGCCCTGCAGGAGTCAGATCTGGAATCCAGACCTCGGCGGTGGACAAACCTCCCTCAGTAAACCTCCCTTTAGTGAAAACGGCCTGGGACCGAAACCGACGGACCTGAACCCGCAAAAATGACGGCCGCGACGCCCTCTCGCGAACCGAAAACGGCCAATTCCTTAATCGACGTATCAGGGTAGGAGGTCTGTTCACCCCCGAAGACCCTGGAACGCAGCCGCTGCGATAGATTGGAGCCTGCGAGTCTAGAAACCGGACTGCGGGTGCCGCGATGCCTCAGGGCATGCAGAAGCTCCAGTCCAGGAGCCCGAACGTGCATTGCAGGCGCTGCGATGCATCAGAGCCTGCAGCCCCTCCAAGTCCGCACTCCGCAGCCTGAGATGTAGGCGCCGCTACGCACCAGAGCCTGCAGAGGTCCAATCTGGAACCCAAAATCTGGAAGGCAAGCGCTGCGATGCATCAAACCCTGCAACGACTCCGAATCCGGAATCCAAACTCCAGAACGCAGGGGCTGCAACGCATCGGAGCGTGCAGAGGTCCGATCCAAAATCCAGAATGTGGAGAGCAGGCACTGCGATGCATCGAACCCTGCACCGACTCCGAAAACGGAATCCAGACTCTGGACTCCAGAATATGCGCTGCGACGCATCAAAAACTGCAATGCTTTCGAATCCAAAATCCGAAATCCAAAACGCAAAAGGATGCAATGCGTCAAAGCCTGCAGGGATCCGGTCAGGAATGTATAATCTAAGATGCAAGCCCTGGAACCCCTCCGAATTGGAAACCTGGAATCCCGAATCCAGAACCCAGAATCTGGAATACCAGAATGCTAGCGCAACGATGCATCAGAACATGCAGCACGTCTGAATCCAAAATAATCTGGAATCCAGGATCCGAAATACAGAACGCAGGGGCTGCGATGCAGCAGAGCCTGAGGAGACCCAATCCAGAATCCAAGATGCAGGCGCTGCAAAGCATTAGAGCCTGCAGCGCCGCTCCGAATCAGGGATCTGGAACGCAAAATCCTGGAATCCGGAATCTGAAGGGCACAATCTGAAATCCTCTTCGGGCCTTGCTGAATAGGCCCCTAACGGGGCCTGCTAAGACGGCGATTGCCGTCTTGGGCCGTCTCGGAACCAGCCGTCTCAGACAGCGGTTCTGGCCTTCTGCCAGGGTCGACGCCCTCTGTCGCGAGAAAGAGCTGGGCGTGTGTTGACTGCGAAGCGTCCTGAGTTCAAATCTTCTGGTGCCCGCAGCGCCCGCACAACGCGTGTTCCCGTGCACGGGCCAGAGCCCGCTCGACGGCATCTTAGCGATCCTTGTTACAGCGAAAGAAGCGACCGACGGGGCTTGTGATGCCCCAGTCATACTGGCTGGTGGTCAAGTTGCGGCTTCCATTTTGCAAGCTGATGCTCGGCTCCACCAAGAGCCCTGGCCTGGCTCTTCGCCAGAGCGTACGACAAAGCGTCGGACCCCGTAATTGCATCAGGAACGTCATCAGCGTCGAACTCATGTGGTGAGGACACCCGTTTCTGCAAGAGCGTGCCAAGCCCGAACATCATATGACCCGACAATACTAGGGCCAGCCCGAGCGTGACTGCACCAGCACCACTATGTCCAACATCGTCGGTGCCTCTGTACGACCTAGTGCTGTTGGCGACCGTCAAATCGAGAAACTGCACACTGACACTCAGCAGCAAAAAAAACAACGCGATCGTGACGGCCGTCTGCTTTCCCGCGCCGGCGTCCCTGTCCCGGACGTGGCCCATCTCGCGGGCGAGGACGACGTCAAGCTCCTCGTCGGACAGGCCCGCGTTCGGCAACCCCTCCGCTCTGGCCGCCAGAGAGACGCCCGCGCCGGAGCCCGCGGCGAGCGCGCTCGCCCCGCCGCGGGGCACTCTGGACGCCTGCGGGCCGCCGCCCCGCAGCCCAGCCGTCCTGCCCAGGCGAGCTGCCCCCTGGGCGAGCGGCCCCGGCGCCCGGCGTGCCGCCCGAGCGCCTGGCGTGGAGCCCTCGAGGGCGCAGCCGGCCGCAGAGGACCGCAGGGGCACCGCGGCGAGGCCCAGCGCCAGCCGCACGAGCCACTGCGGCACGGCGCGGCGGCTCCGAGGCAAGAGGCGGCCGTCGCGAGGCAGGCTGCCCTGCTGCCGCCGCGGCGGGGGTCTCCGGCGGCGTCCCGGCCCCCCACCGCGGGCGAGGCGCGGGGAGCTCGCTGCGCCTCGTGCGCGCTGCCCTGGGCGCCGCGGCGTCTCGGGGCGCACAGCGCAGCCAGGATCCAGAGGCACTGGTGCCAAAGACGAGGCCACGGCAACAAGCAGCACGAACGCGGCCAAGACGAGCAGCGCCGCATACGATTGGCGCGGTCGACGTGGCATCACGGTCCGACCAGATGCATCCAGAATGCCGTCGCCGTCCCCATTGGGACCCTGGCGTGCGAGATCCTCTCCTCTCCTCGAGCTCCTCCACTGGGAGAGGGCCCGAATCATAACTCGAGGGAAGGGCGCGGTGAAGAAGGATGATCGGAGCCCCAGGAGCGGCGCACGGGGCTCCGAGGAAAAGGACCACTCTGTCCACGTTCGGTCCTTCACGCCTTGGGGATCTGAGGGACATGCGCAGGTGGCAGCAGCACGGCCCATCAAGGATTCGAGGCGACGCCAGAATGGCCCTTCAAATAAGGCATGACGCTTGTTGACGCCAAGAGGCCGTTGGGAGACGCCTACGCACGATCTCCAAGACACGAAACTCTCGCGAGGACCTGGCTCTTCACCGCAGCTGAACGAGAGGCACACGTATTGCACCGAACTGCTCTTGGCTGCCCACCCTGCTCGATTTGGGATGGCTTCCCCAGGACAGCCCAACACATCCCTCGAGGGCCCTGAGACGCCTCCGAAACGAGCCCAAGACGTCCCGAAGACGAGCCAAGACCAGGCCTGGCCCTCGGCGGCACCCCAACATACTAATGATATGTGTGCGTCGCCCCCCCAGGGGCGACGCGCGCACCGAGAAATCTTATAGTATATGCATCGTGGCGGGCGCTTTCTGGCCGTATCGCTCGGGAAACGATATACTACAAGATGGGTCTACTATATGTTCGGGTCGCACGCGCGCCTCCAAGGAGGACATACAGTATTAGTGTGTCTCTGCGCGTCCCACGCCAATGTGAATTCCTTGTCGGCAGCGCTGGCGGACGCGAGCGCGACTGCGGCCCGCGCCGGGCACTGGTCACCCCAGAGCGGGCGGTCAAGTAGAGACTGCCGCGGAGGAGAAGGTCAAGAAATACACAGGACGACGTCATCGTCGTCGTCATCGTTCTCGGCCGCCGCTCGCTCTCGGAGGTCGCCGTCAACCATCGAACCTGTGTAGTTCATCGTTGGCCGTCCATTATCGACGTTATCTTCCACTCTCACTCGCATCCCGGACAGCGGCACTGGCCGAAGGCCATTACAACACAGGACGGCCCAAAGAGACCAACCACTGGCTGGGAGAACGAGTGGACACAAAACCCACAACTCGCCGAAATGCTCGACGGGCGCGTTCCGACAAAGATTCCGACGCGAACATACCCGCGGCGACGACGGGCCAGGGGCATCGCAAGGAGGAGAAGCCGAGGGAGCCGGTACGTTTTGACGCTTAGCCGTGAGCCCCCGCCGTGAACGGGTCGCAGCAGGCGCGGGTCACCTGGGCGTCACGCAGATCGCGGACGTGTCGGCGGCGGGTCGCCAGCGGGTCCCAGGCCACAGGCGGGGCGGGTCCCACAGTGAGGCCTGGGGCTGGTCGCGGGGCGGGGTGCAGCGGGCGCTGGCCGCGGCGCGCGAAAAGGGGCGTGAAGCGGGGCGCGGGCGGGTCACGGGGAGGGTCACGCGGCGCTGGCGACGAGGACCAGAACGAGAAAAGGAACAAAAACGATAACTAGGAGCAGAACAAGGGAACAAATATGACCACAATCATGTCAAGATGATGTGAGGAATCGAGCTGAATTCACATTCGTCTGCTTATCCCCATGATATGTAAAGCCATACGCCCGCCGTCAAAAAATGTGGAGGTACCCCATCGGGATGGGGGCTCCAATTTTGTCATACCAGATCTTGGGTAAATCCGACAGGGTAGGACAAAGCGTGGGATCATTGATCGCAGACGCGAAAATTAGGAGAGGGGTTGAGGATGCGGGAAGAAACCATTTTGTACCACGCAACCAAGGACGCCATGATCGCCCGACCCCCATCACACCGACAAATCTCGTTGGGTCGATCCGACAGGTGCTGGCCAACCCCAACATTGCCGAGAGATCACCGCTGACAAAATGAAGACGCACGACAACATTATGATTCATGGTTAGCACTGCTAGTTCTTCACCACCACTGTAGAACTTCTGTGGGAAAAAAAAACTCACACGGCTCGAGCAGCACAAATGGCAGACTCCAGGCTTTGCAGAAAACGTTGACGTGCGGTCGGTCCACGGGGCGCCCCAGGTCAGACAACTCGAAATCGATACTCTCGAACCCAACATTTCCCACTGGCGTTACTACTATACGAGGTCCCGTACCGATCTCACGCATTGCGTTCAGAACTTCCAAAACACAACCAATAAACCCTGTTGTTTCGCCGCCGAAGCGGTGGTCTGCACATGTCGACGGAAACCACCCTGGACGACCGCCCACGACGATCCCCACGCGGCCCGCTACCATCACAGCGCCCTTCTCTACACGAGTGCGCAGCGACCGAACGCAAAATTGCGCCAAACGATTGGCGGATATGGTGCAAGCCAGAAGATAAACAAATAGGCGATGATCAACTATTCGTGTGAGCTTAATTGAGCCGAGAATGTATCCAACAAAAGCAATATTGGAATGCGTTGTTGCAGCAACGACCATGTCAAACAAGAAAAACGCGGCAGCAAAGGAAAGTAACACCAAGAACGGAAACACTGGGTGCAGCACCGAACGAGCAAAAATCAAGAAGACCAGCAAGCTGGTCGCTGGTGGAATGAATGGATCCCTTGACTCGGGCGGGCAGGCACGACAATGTTAGAAATGCGACGCACAATGGCAAACCCATGAGCGGAACGACGAAATACATTTGCATGAAAAAAAAAAAAAACCCAAACTTGTTTTTGACAAAATCGCGAGTGCCGACGCCTCGCCAACTTCGCTCAAACGGTGCTGCGGCTGCCAAGAAGGGCGAGGAGGCGCAAATCGCGCCACTCTCCCCACCCTCCGGCAGGGTGCAAAATAAGCTGGTGACTGACATTGCGCGAACTGGATCCCATTTGGCGTAACATGATACGGCGACGACAGCTATACACATCCAGCGCTACCTGGCCAGACCCATCCTGAACCCAGCAGCGGTCCACACGCCACACCCAGCGTATGCACAGCTCCTTCCAGGAAGGGCAGGGGGCACTGGATATGTATAGATTGTTTCGCCCGGCATGAAAAATCCACTCATAAGAAATACGCGTTGTTCTACACGTATCACACACGCAGCTGCTGATCCCAAATGAAATGGAAAACCGCCGGCACCGTCAAGGGGAATAAAAAAAACCTGACAGGCAGCACGACACTCTCAAATACAAGCGAGGCGGATGAAAGAAAGAGATAAGACAAAAAAGAGGGAAACGGGAAAGGACGGACGATAGAAAAGGAGGGAAGGAAGCAACAAGCACGCGACGATAAAAAAGTCGAGAAGGAAGTGCAGGTGCGGGACGCGCCGAAAACGTAGAGTCCAAAAAGACGCCATCGGCTACAAATTACCCTGCGACGTACCCAACCCACGCGCATCAAATGGCAAGAGGAGTATGCCAACATTAGCAGGAACAACGACAGTGTAGACGCGGCGATTTGCTGTGCAAGCTACATGGGATGCGCATGCGCTGCACGATTCACAGGACGACGATCGAAAGAACGAAGCTTGAGGCCCCAGGATCGAAGAAGAACGGGCACGGGAACGAGGGGTAGGAGAGGGATGGAATGGAGGGCGGGGGGGGGGCGAAAGGCCATCGCGGAAGCAGCAGCATGCATGGAGAAGGTGAGGCGGGGAATAGGACGACGATGAAAGTGGCGGGAGGAGACAGAAGACTGCCGCGTTTTTCAAGTGCGAGCTAAACCCGCAGCGCTGCCTGCGCCATGTCGTCGCAGAGTTCCACATGATAAAACTTGTTTAGAGTGCAAGGAACGAGCGAGGCGTAGCTCGCCCGCTAGCTTCTCCGCCTCCTTCCCGCACATTTCAGCGCGGGAGCTGAACGCTCGCAGGCGCGCCGCCAGGTCTGCGGGCGGCCCGCGGGAAAGAAACTCAAGGCCGGGGTCGCGTATCATCAATCGGTTGTCCATCGTCCAAAGTTGCACTGGCGACGTACTGGTTGAACGCGGAGCGAGCAGCATCACGCGCGTGCCTGAACGCCACGCAGGTACAGTGCACGCGCGATTGGGACTTCAGGTCGATCACGCGCGTCTCCACCAGGCTTGGCAACACCACGCGACTGAGGATCTCACTGCGGTCTGCCATGCTGCTGTCCGCGAATGCAATGCGCTGCCTGCAAGTAAGGCGGCGGCGTCCACTTGTCTCAGAAGATGTTCCCGCGGGCCCGAAGGGCGACCGCCAGCTCGAGCCGCGGCGCCGGCAGGCCAGATAAGGATCATGCAACAGCAAAGACGATGACAGAGCAACGAGGTATCGGCGAGTGCATGACCGGCCTCCGTTTCCTGCACTTCTTTCCTGTAGTTCCCCTAGCTCATCGAGCTCAGCAGATGTTTCTGCGGGTCCGAAGGACGACCGCCAGCTCGAGTCGCAGCGCCGACGAGCTGCATCCACATGAGGCAACACCCCAGGAGACCCTGGCACACAACGATTTGACGTCAGTCAGTGCCAGACCACTCCATGTCTAGTTCCTCGCACACATACAATCGATCGCAGATGCGGGATAATCGAAGTAGAATGACGGGTCCAATCTGCGTCCGCGTAGGACGTCACTATGCTGGACCCCGCAGCAGGTCTCGAAAGTGGCGACAGTTTCATGGGCCCCACAGCAGCCCTCGAAAGTGGCGACAGTTTCACAGATCGTAGCCCCCCAGCGCTGGCGAGGTCTAATCTGAGTCCCCGTAGGACGTCACTCCGCTGGCCCCCCAGCAGCCTTCGAAAGTGGCGACAGTTTCACAGATCGCAGCCCCCCAGGGATGGCGAGGTCTAATCTGAATCTGCGTGGTGCCTCACTCCGCTGGACCCACCCTCAGCCCTCGAATGTGGCGACAGTTTCGCAGATCGCAGCCCCCCAAGGATGGCGAGGTCCAATCTGAATCTGCGTGGTGCCTCACTGCGCTGGACCCACCAGCAGCCCTCGAATGTGGCGTCAGTGTCGCAGATCGCAGCCCCCCAGGGATGGCGAGGTCTAATCTGAATCTGCGTGGTGCCTCACTCCTCTGGACCCACCAGCAGCCCTCGAAAGTGACGACGCAGATCGCAGCCCCCCAGGGACGGTGAGGTCTGGTCTGAA